CCACGTTAGGACAACCGTTACCGTTACTTGACCTTATCTCTCCTTATCTCTGCTCTTGAACCGAATTGCGCGATCTTGAGCTACTTTGAGAAGAGACATCTCGCTTTGCAACCTCCTTTCGAACTGACGCCCTTGGCTCCAAGAGCACAAGACCCCTTGCAGTAGCAGTCTTTTTGTTATATTCGGTGGTAATATGCGGTGCGGGCGGTTACCGTCGCGAAGCGACGTGAATAAACTTGAATCCAACAAGGAAAAACTCCAGATTTAAGAAAAAATCAAGACCGACCAACAACAAGCACGCAGACAAACAAAGAAAGCAAACAAAAGAAAGGATCCTTCAGAGACCAGCCATGAGATCTCAGAGTCAGATCCAATCTGCGTGGCCTTCAATGTCTCATCATCGGAATCCTCGAAAGCAAAAACTTTCAAGGACAACATACCTGTCAGCTCAGGAAGGAAAAGGTGAACTAGGGCTACCATGCCGTGCAAACATTTATCCAAAAGACCTGACAAGTGCACAAAGTGACACGCAACTACAAGGGAAAATAGGGAACCCTCTAGAAGCTAAACTTGCAATGAAGTTGACTGCAACTGCGTGACACAAAGCTGAACTTGCAATGCCACAGCAACCCCCGATCTAGACTTACAACCCTTTTGGTTCTGATTGCATACCCCTGGCTGCTGACGATCTCCAAAACCCTGTCTGCCTGAAGATCCATACCTAACAAGGTCAAGGTCAAATCCAATCCAAGGTCATGCCAATCCAAGCTCCACAAGCCTCAAACCAATCAATGTTCAAATGCGAAGCAAAACAAGAAACTGTGATCTATAGACTCCTGTTTTTGCAAAGGCTGGCATGAGCAGCGCAAATCACCTTCCATTAGCGCCCATGGCTGTGATATTCAGGCTCTCTCAGGATCCATCAACCTCACTCGTTTCAATCCAGGCGGAACAGGGTGCATAGGCTCAGCTCGCCCTCCAGATCCAAGTGGAGCGCTCCCATATCCGGGAACAACACCCGTGCCCAACGTGGCACATGGTGCTGTCATCCCTGAAGGATCCATTCCGGTAGAAGCCATTCCTGGCACGCCGGGTGGTACCGGAACACTCGTTCCAGGAAACATGGGTTGTCCACTCGCCTTCACAGGAGGAGCTTCCTTCGCTGTTGCAGCAGGAACAACTGGAGTCATAGGCGTCTGAGGAGTTCCGGCACTGGATACAGCCTCAATCACTTTGTTGAGAAGCTGATTCGTCTCCTTGGCGTTCGCATTCAAAGATTCCAGAGATGTAGCCTGGCGGGAAACTTCACTCATGTCAGTGACCAACTTCCCCAGCACTATGATGGACTCCTTCACGCTAGCAATCGACTGCTTTCCGCTCCCTGACAGTTGCCAGTGCACGTCACTGACTTTGCGAGCCAGATCCTTGACCACTCAAGTCCTGTGACTTGATGTGAGATGATAAGGTGAGTAAGGCCTCACTCATCCTCACCAGCGTCATATTGCTTCTGCAATTTCTCATCAAGGTCTGCACGTCTCTTATCCATATTGGCATTAAACTCGGAAACTTGCTTCAAAGCATTCGACAAGCCTCCGAACTTGTTCACAGCCCATAGGAGGGTGTCAAGGACTGTTTCCAACTTAATCTCACCAGCCACTGCTGGACAAGGATCACCCATCTCAGTCTCAGACCGAGACTCGTCAGGCCCTCGGGCCGCAAGCTGGCTGACCTTCTCGAAATAGGACCATGCATAGAGATGGCCCCCTGAGGCCAGCATTGGCATCAGCTCTTCCAATTGGTCGATCTTGGCTCTCAATGCCACCAGGCTCAAACCAACATAGTCGGTCCCTCGCATGTCGGACCTCAGGATAAGCATGGATCTTGAGTTTCACCAGCATCGTAACATTCGAGCACGAGGTGTGCCACCTCGAGGCTTCGTTCCAGGAACCGGTTCACTGATGTTGTTCGAAGGACATCTGCTGGCATTTCAGCATTCGCAAGGTTAAGAGCCTTCATCTCTTCAATCCCAACCTCCGCCAACTCTTGGCCTTCAAACAAGCATGCTGTGACTCTGATCGCATTGGTCACACCCGAAGGACTCGCCATTTTCCGAAAGTCCCAAACACGTCCGATGCTCTGGAGCCCAGCTTGAGCAATCATTTGTTTGAGAAGGCGGTTCAAACTGCAAGTTCTGTCAGATTCCCCCTCGATCAACCCTAAAACGAAAATGAAAAACGGGGAAGGAAGCAAAGCAAGCGAAGTCTCAAACCACGAAAGGAGACGCAGTTCCCTTGACTCTGACACGTCGACAAGTAACATGGTTCCAAACCCTTCAACTTGAAGTGAACTACTCTCAAACTCAGCATCCCCACAAGCATGCTGAGCAAGTCAAGTTCATCCTAAACAACTATAGTTCTAGAATTGAATTCCCTCCTTCCAGGTAGAGGCTAAGAAACCCAAAACCTTTAAAATTACAACTATATATATATATATACAAAAAAATACAACCCTGAAATGCAACTGTATTGCATGGTTCGACGCCCTAACTGGCCTCGGTTCCCAAATATCATACTCAAATGAGGGCCACTACGCAAATAGCACCCACCAAGCCAATTGAATTTTGAGTCACGTTGTCCTTTTTATGCGTTGTCAAGAAGCATTTGCGCGAATTTGCTGTCTTTTTGCGTTGTGGCAAAATAGAAACAAAGGCAGTCGGCCCGCAAAATCGACAAACACCCTCGTCGACACGTCCGCAAAATGAAAAAATTTACAACATTTGGTTTCGCAACCTGTTTCGTCAATTGTTTTGTCTTTTTTGGCGGGTCGTATTATTCTGATATTTGTTTTATTTTTTCGCGGGTCGTATTTTTCGTATGTGTTTCTAATTTTTGCGGGTCGTATTTTTTGTATTTTCTTTATTGTTTTGTATTTTTCGTATGCTTTGTATTGTTTTGTATTTTTTGTCTTTGTGTATGTTCTATATTTTTGAGTTTTTCGTTGTTTTTGGTATTTTGGAAAAATACCAACAAGATGGAGCCCACGAACCCGAATGCAAGCACATTCGAAAAGCTACATATGTCCAAATGACACTCTTGTAGGACACTCTTGTGGGACACTCTTGTGGGTCACTCTTGTAGGAAACTCGTGTGGGACACTCTTACGGGACACTCTTGTGGGACACTCTTGTGGGACACTCTTGTGGGACACTCTTGTAGGACACTCTTGTGGGATACTTGTGGGACACTCTTGTAGGAAGCTCTTGTGGGACACTCTTGTGGAACACTCTTGTGGGACACTGTTGCGGGACACTCTTGTGGGACACTCTTGTGGGACACTCTTGTGTGTTGCGGGACACTCTTGTGGGACACTCTTGCAGGACACTCTTGTGAGACACTTGCGGGACACTCTTGTGAGCCACACTTGCGGGACACTGTTGCGGGACACTCTTGTGGGACACTCCTGTGGGACACTCATTTGGGACACTCTTGCGGGACACTCTTGCGGGACACTCTTAAGGGACACTCTTGTGAGACACTCTTGCGGGACACTGTTGCGGGACACTCTTGTGGGAGACTCCTGTGGGACACTCATTTGGGACACTCTTGCGGAGGGACACTCTTGTGAGACACTCTTGCGGGACACTGTTGCGGGACACTCTTGTGGGACACTCCTGTGGGACACTCATTTGGGACACTCTTGCGGGACACTCTTGTGGGACACTCTTGTAGGACACTGTTGTGGGACACTCCTGTGGGACCTTCTTATAGGACGCTCTTGTAGGACACTCTTGAAGCTTGTGGGACATGCGTGACACTCTTGTGGGACACTCATACGGGACACTCTTGTGGGACACACTTGTGGTACACTCTTGCAGGAGACTCTTATGGGACACTCTTGTGGGACACTCTTGTGGGACACTCTTGTAGGAAACTCTTGTGGGATACTCTTGTAGGACACTCTTGTGGGACACTCTTGTGGGACACTCCTGTAGGGCACACTCTTCGTTCGAGACTTCCTCCAAAAGTCACGCTGCGAGGCTGCAAGACGAGCGTTTCGTACGAGACTTCCTCCAAAAGTCACACGTCAAGTCTCAAAAACGAGCGTTTCGTACGAGACTTCCTCCAAAAGTCACACGTCAAGGCTCCAAAACGAGCGTTTCGTACGAGACTTCCTCCAAAAGTCACATGTCAAGTCCCCAAAACGAGCGTTTCGTACGAGACTTCCTCAAAAACTCACACGCCAATCACAATGTGACAGCGACATTCACCTCTACCACAACTCACAACCTCCCGATTCCCTGCGCCAACCACGAATCTTTCCGCGTCCACACGTCCGACGCGCGCAAAGTACTGTGCCTGCCACGAAATGTCACCTCCGTCACCCCTCGCAACCTCACGATTCCCTGCGCCTGCCACTAGAATCGCACTTCCACGCCTCAAAGCCCGCACAAAGTCCTGCGCCTGCCACGAAAAGTGACAATATCATCTCATGTGAGCTTCAACAAAATTTGCACCACACCTTTTTTTTTCTGACCCGTTCTGAGCACACTCCCATCCACCAAAATCGCCATTTCAGCTGAGACTTGTCACGAAAACCGAGCTTCGATGCCACACCCTGAAACGCAAAATCCCAATGGCACGGCCACATCCAACACCCCAAAAACACGACTCTCCAAACGCTAATCCCAATGGAACTGCACAGCTGTCTGCAGATCTCACAAAACGCTGCGCCTGTGCAGCGAAACGCATCACGTTTCTTGCGCGACATGTCATGTTCGTGCAAATCACAATGGAATAGCGGCGCAAACTGACACGTGACACATCCATGAATAGTCACTTGCAAAAGCTTCCCCCAATGGCAGCGCCTTAGCGCTCTACCGCGAACGGTTGCGAACGGTTGCAGACGGTTGCGAACATAGAACCAACGGGTCACGAACAAGGCTCCACCCCCAGAACCCCCAAGAGTTAAACGAGAACCCTTCGCTACGCATTCGGGAACAAAAAGATTCGTATTTTTTGCACTTAAAAAATACAATGTTGTTTTCGTATTTTTTCGTATTACATATTTTTGGAAAATAGTAAAATGCAAAATTTTCGGCCTCGAACTGCGAACCGGCAAAACCCACCGGCAATTTTTTGACAACCAACGAAACGTGGTCAGGCTACCCGACAACCACGAGAACCTCTTGCACATCAAGACATTGTCTTACATTGTAACTCCATAGATCAACATATGGTTCAGCATCACCTTTTCTTTTCAAGTAAATAATTTTTGTCCTTCCCCATGGCTCGACCTTCATTGCAGATTTGCTACAGCTTCGCATTCCAGAACCAATGCGGCAAGCGCTGCTGGATGATGGGTGTGACACAGAAACCTTTGGATTGGTCGCACTTTCCTTGACGGAATTGGATTCTGTTTTGGATTCTCTGGGACTGGAGATCTCGACTCGAGCTCGATCCACGTTGCCAACCCGCTGTAGCCTCAGGTCCCTCCAGTCCCTCTGCCCTCCTGCCTTCAGGTGATCTAGCCTAGAACTCACTTCAGGTTCCCGCTCAGGTTCATCTTGGAATGAACCATTTCCAGCCAAGCTCAGCCCGGAACTCATTCGGGAACTTCGAGACAACTTTGAGCGCCAATACCCCGGTGAACTTTTTTTTCCACGAGTGCGGACGCCATGTGGGCAGCGTGCCCAGGTCATCGTTGAAGGAAAGGAAACACTGCATATTGATGGGGGAAGCAAACCACAACCACCAACACCAAAACACCCAGCAAAGACCCAAAACAAACCCCAAAACAAGACCAAAAACCGCCACAAAGGACCCCCAACCCATGTGAGCAGTGTTTCCTCTGTACTGAAAGTGAAACGGGTGAGAAAGACGAGCTGCAAAATATCTAAGGGCCTGAATTTTCTACGAAAGGCAAAATGCTTCTGGTCGTGGGTAATTGCACGGATCGGCCAATCAAAGGTGGCCGCATTCCATTGGCAAGGATGAGGTCATCCAAGCCACTTTTGATGGTTGGTACTCGGCGTAGTTTGACATCATGTGCAGTACCAAGAGCAAAGTAAGCAGTTGTCAGATGACTATGGCCAAAGAGTCATCGGTTGCAAAGCATGGCAAGCCGTGGAAAATTCCATCTCCGTGGCACAATCCTACGAAAGCAGTGGCTTATCTTGAGTGTGAAAGTGGAAGGCATCGCAACGAAAGGACTGCTCACAACGTGCTGATTGCCCTCCCACAACGGAGGCACACCCCCAATGGCTCCCACGCGTTAGCCAAAGGGGTTATGGGGGTTGTTCACTTTTCCATCAGATAGTGAGTATTGAGATCACTATCCTTCGACATGCATGGCCCATGTGAAACAGGTGAAACAGTGACCTATCCCAGCGTGGTACTTATGCCATCTTTGTACAAGATTGGCTGTGGTTCGGCTCCCGCAGACGAGCAACTAAGGTTCTCCCTGGGTGCCATCCATCTTTTTTTCCACGAGCACGGACGCCATGTGGGCGGTGTGCCCAGGTCATCGTAGAAGGATAGGAAACACTGCATATTGAAGGGGAGAAAAGACAAAAAAACGGAACCGGAAACAGCAAACAAGAACCCAACCAAACCCGAAGCCAAAACCAAACAGAAAACACCACACAAACCGCCAGCCAATGTAGGCAGTGTTTCCTCTGTACTAAGGTGGGACGGGTGAAAATGACAAACTGCAAGATATCTACGGGCCTGAATTCTCTACGAAAAGCGACATGTTTCTGAAAGCAGGTGATTGGTCTGCGCGGCCAATCAAAAGTGGCCTCGCACCGTTGGCAAGGATGAAGTCATCCAAGCCGTTCATGGGTGGGCGCTCGAAACCTTGTGGCATCAAATGAGGTAAACGAGGGCAGAGTCAGCCGTTGGCAGATGACAAATGCCAAAGAGTCATCAGTTGCGAAGCGTGGCAAGCCGTGGAAACTTCCCTCTCCGTGGCACAATCCATCCTACTGATTGCACTTACGAAAGAAAGAGGCTAATCTCGAGTGTGGCAGTGGAAGGCATCGCAACGAAAGGGCTGCTAATGATGTGCTGATTTCCTCCCGCGAGGGAGGCACAACGTCCACCCACTGTCTCCCTCTCGATAACTCAAGAGGTTGCAGAGGGTGTTCACTCTTCCATCAGATA